GCCCAAGCGGCGGCCCTCAACGTGGCGGTAGCCCGTCTGCGCTCGCGAAAAAGGCAAGGCGAGAGGACAGTCGCCTCTTGTCGTCACTGTAATTCTGTGGAAACGCATGTCTTTTCCCACAGTTTTCTGTCTTCCAAAATGGCTGCAAGCCCGTGGAGTTACGTGCTTGATGTGTGCCGACCTCGCTGGGGAGCGAAGGCTTTCTGTCGGTACGGGAATGGTAACCGGGCTCAGTCCGTGCCACCTCCTGTCCCTCTCCCTTCAGAAATTTAGGAACAGACCACCTTGCTCACGTCAGCGCTATGTTAACAGATACTTCAGGCAGTCGTGCAAATACCCCAGAAGTTTTCACTCACCAGAGAACATGAAGGGGAGGCTTTACAAGACACATTCCCTCCTTCAGCGCACTGGGTACTAGCTTCATGTATTCGTACAGTGAAAAGGTCAAAAGAAGAGTGAGGAGGATGGTCCGGTCCTAGAATGAAAATGAGAAAACTGGGTTTACAAGGGCTCGTGAGTGATTTAGCTGGTTAAGTTTGTAACAGGTACAGAAAAAAACCTAGGTCTCTTATTTTTGTGCTATCCAATAATAAACAAAAGAACATTTTAGCAGAATAACAGCCAATTAGTACAGGAAAAATAAATACAACATTCACTCCCTATGAGAAGAGTCAAGTTTTCTGTAGAAGTTTGAAAGGGCTTTGTAGAACCTACAATAACTCTTGCCCTAAGACATGCCCAAAGGTAGTATTTTGCATTGGTGGCTTTTGTTTCTTTTCCTTTTTTCAGTGTTTTGTACAGTGGAGTCCTCATCCTTGACCAAAACTGTTAAACTGTTAAATGTGTTTTGAGTAAGGATTTATTCTCCCTCAACTGGGATAAAGGTGTCAAGGTGTAAAATACCTGGTTTTTGCAAATACCTTATTTTCCATTATATAGCAGTGTTATTTCTTTATGTAACTTCATGTTAGACATATAGTTGTGACTTTTCCAGTGTTTGGAACACATTTTCTGGAAAAAAATGATGTCTGTGTAAAGGCTAAGGTATCAGTGTCACTTCTATATTATTTTGCATTTCTATTCCAAATAAAGTGAAGAAAGAAGTTCAGCTTTTTATGTCATTTCTGTCGTTCCCTAGACATCATTTTTATTTGTCCACAATGTCTTACTTTGCAGCAATCCCAAAATGCATGTACCTTGAGGTAATAGCGTATTACCAATATTCTCTTGGGCTCTCCTGCTTAATTTTGTGTAATCTTCCTAAAGTATAGCTTGTTATTAGCTAGCGAGGTGGGTGTGCGCTAGTCTATATTTGGAG